TAAAGTTTGTGGCTTGTCAGCGTATACTTGAGACTTAACATATCCCCATAGAAAGAAGTCTGTTGGCATGATATCACACGACCTTGGGGGCCAGTTGACACTACCTCTAAATGAGATGATACGTTCACCAAATGTTTCTGCCAAGAGGCCAATTGTGTCATTTGCCGTGTGGCACGTCGCGCCGTCTTGTTGGAACCAGACATTTTCTACATCCACTTCAAGTTCGTTTAGCTGAGGAACGAAAAAGTCCCGTAACATTGCCCGATAGCGTTGAAACTTTAAATGACTTGGAAGCTAACATTCGTCGAGTTATTGGCGGAATTCAACCACAGCTGCTGGAAAGAGTATTCGAAAATTGGACTTCTCGATTGGGCTTTCTACGCGAACGGAATGGAGCCCATATGCCAGAAATCATTTTAAAACGTTAATGTCATGACACTATAGTTCAAATAAATGCATTTTTATGTCAATGCAGCATTTTTTATTTAGTTTTAAAAACCACACCAATAAAAAATTACCCTATACAACCCTGAAAGATAACTTCAACGACAAGTTTGTTCTCGTACTTTCTTGGAGTTATGTTTTTACTATATTTTATAAGTTCTCTACTTTTCAACTTTCTATTGTATGGTTTATTGCTAATTGATGATAAGTCCAAAAATGATTGCACTCACTAAAATTCTGAGCTTCTGATATTAATTTCTTGCATAACAAAGTTAGATAAAAAAAACTAGCATTAGGTATGTTGATGAAAGATATGATTAGTAAAATTGGCACCTTCAGCGATGAACAACACTTGGGACGTTGTTACCATAACTAGACAAGACAGAGAACTTTTCATTCTGTTGAGCTAGTTTTGTTATGTGTGTTAGTAAAAAAAGTATTCAAATACCACCAAGCATTAGTCTTGCACCTCTTGAATAGACAGAATTTATTCAGCAATCAACTCTGTACTAAATGCTTGACTAATCTTAAGTTAATAAAGTTCAACTTTAAGTTGATGCTAAGAAATTAAGAAATTTAATATTCCCAAACCTTACCACATTTGTAGCTTCCTGGGCAGGAAGAGGAAGCCTCCATCTCTGGTTGACATTTAAGTTTCCTATAGAAGGCGTGAGCAACATTGTTGCAGGGGTTTGATCCTGGGAAAAAAGTTCTAATCAACAAAAGGCTACCAATTGTCTAGAGCTTTTATAAAAGTAAGTGGATTAAACATTTTAAAGTTTTAATTATTTTCTTCCTTGTACAATCAATTGATGTCAATGAATAGTTATTTATCCCATTTTTGAACAATCCAATATTGAACATAGTAATTGGTTTTGTTAACAATAATGATCACTCTTATATTGTCCTTAAGCATTAAATTCATTCAATAGAAATTATCATTTTTAAGATGCAAAATTTAGTTGTTAAATAAGAGACTACATGAAAAAATGCATTCTTTGAATTAATTAATACAGGGTGCGGCAAAAACCCGATCTATTTTCTGCAGCACACTGTTCAGTGAGAGGTCGTCTGAGGGTAATGGGGGTAGGCTCGTTGGAAAGCCTACATAATGCCAATATCTGTAGTCATAGAGCAATGTTCACCTGAGCTACAAGCGTTTGTTATTGAGCCGTATTTAAAAAGTAATTAATTTATTCATTGCAACTTAATTAGCGGAGTGGGGGAAATTGTGCAACACCTAGCCTACTTACCATCTTAGACAACATATACAAAATTTAGAGCTGTTGGTAGGTTAACAGACATCTATTCATTGGATTAATTGTAAAAAAGTCAAACCTTTGGATTAATTTTGACTTGTCTGAAATTTATTTACTCTTGGATATTTTGATATTTGGTTTCTTTTATGTTAAAGGAATTTGTTGGGTAAATTTTTTGAACCTTTCTTGTAATCAGCTGTACAATAGTTATTTGTGTAACTAGTGGTGAAAGTGGCACTTTGCTGCACACGAGAGCAATGTTTACCTCCTGCGGAATGATCTCGAGTGCAGCAAAGGCCTTTTTCACTCGTGTTACACATTATATTTTTCCTACAGTCACTATAAAGCATATAAATAATTAGTCTTTCAAACACTATACACAACACGTTTTTAGGTTCAGCTGGCAACACAAATGGTGCCCTAGAGAAAGTAGTACCCGCGGTCCGTATCACTCCGCTATTTTTCCTCGGCAAGAAATGAACTCCACATTTTGAGAATATAGTTCCGTATGTTTTTGTAATTTGAAGTGGTTTCCGCGCCTAAAAAAATGCTTTAAAGGTATTTTCTTGTTTATTAAGATCGTAGGAATGTTTTAAAAACGTCTAAAAGAAATGTCCAGAAAGTTCAGAAATACCAAAACTATAAACACGAAATGACAGGTTAAATCGTAGTTATAATAGTCAATCAGCTGCTCATAGTATTATTATCTTTAAGTGTTGCCAACCTATTTCCAAGCGTACACGGATTACGTGCATAATAGAACCACGCTGTTTTGTGTTGTTTCGTTGGAATCCTGATGTGCGGCAAAGTATAAACCGTACGGCAAAGTATAAATATGCAGCAATTAGCAGCTTTCTGTACTATAAACAGTACAAGGAAGCCAACTTTTTCGGGTGACTGTAGGAAAAACTTCTTTTCTTGTTTAATTCATATTACCTAGATTGTGTTCAGTACATATCACCTTGGTCAGATGGTTAATTCAGTTTAAGGAATCACGAAATCAATACAATACATTTTCAGGGCTTTCCCTCCTTAATAAATTCTCATATCAAAGTAAGATATACTATATTCTGACTAACCTTGAGTTGAAAGAGTATAGAAAGACAGCAGCAGGAGTGGCAGATGCATGGTGTTAGACTGAGCTCAGACTATTATCCAATCAGACCAGAGGGGAGGTGATAATGTGCCAAATCAAAATGGGTGCTGTGTCCGCTTCCTGTTTAAGCCAGTGGATCCAAGTGGTTGAATGTATTTCAGTATAAATCTGTTCTCACCTATCTCTGTTCCTCAGGGAAGGGTTTTAGGACCTTTATTTTTTGACAAAATTACTCGTAATTCACCATTGGATTAAACCAATAGAATATATTTCAGTGTTTGAACCCACACAGTCAGTTGTCATCTGCCTGGCTGGGATTGAAATGAAAATACTTGTTTAGGTGTTCCTCAGTGAATGGTTTTAGGACCTTTATTTTTTGACAAAATTACTCGTAATTCACCATTGGATTAAACCAATAGAATATATTTCAGTGTTTGAACCCACACAGTCAGTTGTCATCTGTCTGGCTGGGATTGAAATGAAAATACTTGTTTAGGTGTTCCTCAGGGAATGGTTTTAGGACCTTTTTTATTTTTTGACAAAATTACTCATAATACACAAAACATGTAGATCAAATTAATAGAATGTATTTCAGTGTTTAGACCCGAACAGTCAGTTTTCATCTGGCTGGCTGGTTTTGAAATAAAAATACTTTTATTGGTGTTCCTCAGGGAATGGTTTTAGGGCATTTTCTATATTTAAACAAAATTACTCATAATACACCAAACACAAGAATCAAAATAGTAGAATGTATTTCGGTGTTCAAACCCGAACAGTCAGTTTTCATATCTGTCTGGCTGTGATTGAAATGAAAACACTTGTTTAGGTGTTCCTCAGGGAATGGTTTTGGGGCCTTTTCTATTTTTTGACAAAATTACTCATAATACACAAAACACAAGGATCAAATTGAAATTAGTAGAATGTATTTCGGTGTTCAAACTTGCACAACCAGTTCTCATCTGGCTGGCTGGGAATGAAATGGAAACACTAATTGTATAGGTGTTCCTCAGGGAAGGGTTTTAAGGAACTTTAAAGTAAAATTTTTAACATTTTAACACTGTGACAAAATATATGCGACTTGTACACTACTTGCCATGTTATTTTTTTCCAATTTTACTATGACAAAGAAGTCTATTGTATTATAAGAGTTTTTGATTATCTGAGGTAGGGGAAAGCGGGGCTAAACCGTACAGTGAGGCTAAACCCATTTTTTGGCCTAGAATTCAAGCTAGGTGATACCGACAAGTGCTGCTATCTAGCAGCAGAATGCGCAAGTTTACAGTATCTGCATAATTTTGCTATGTGTGCTAGTTTCAATGTTTCAGTAAAAAAACATGTTTCTACTCACTTGCTTCTAATTTTCGTCCAGTACTAAATAAAAAGTTAGTGAAGTAGCTTTTATCGTAACTGTGAGATCATAATAAACTACATCCCTTAAGCTCTCTTTTGGTTATTAGCGATTATTGGTTAAGTGATAGAATTTGAGTGTATGTTTATAAATTCCCACGAGGTACAGATTGGGGCTAAACCGTACAGCTCTGGTACAGGGTGCTGCTCATGTTCAGGGTGGGTCCATTCAGTTTGCAGTGCTGCGGAGTCCGCAGAGAACTACATTTGTGGACTTTTTCTTCTTTTTTTTAATTTTGGGAGGAAATATTATAACTTTTTCATAAACTTCATGTTTTTTATGAAGGTTGATTTTTGAAATGTTATTTCTTCTAAAATGTTAAATTGTAATACACTGTTTCTTAACTACAACCTTTATATAGTAATCAAAAGTATTTGTACAGTTATTTGTTGCAGTACTATTATATTACTAACCTAAACAAATGATTTTTGAACTGTACGGTATAGCCCCTTCCCTGTACGGAATAGCCCCACCCCGCAGGGCTATTTCGTACAAGGTAATTTTTTTTTAATTACCAATTTTATTTTTTCATGTAAAAAATGCAATAGTACCAAAATGTTTATATACAATCAGTAGCCAAATAATTAAATTATATATTGCTTGTGTTTACATTAATTTTACTTCGTAATTTACGATGTAACTACGAATCTTCCTTATGTGTATAGCCCTGCTCTCCCTTACACTTAGTCCTAAATACCCCCTAATCAAGGCTCTACTTTATAAAAAAATACAACTAACAACCTCAAGAAGCTGTTTGGGAGAGTAGTTTGGTTGGATAAGTATAACAAACATGCACAGTATAAAATAGTTTATTAAAATATATGCTAAAATAAGTCTCATTGGTTAAATTCATAGACTATAGATTCCAAGTATAAATCACATTAACTTTTGGTCCAGGTGAGTCTGATAAACTGGGGTTTGGACTGTTTCTTCACAAAAAATATAAAAAATGGTGCTGGCATTGAACTCAAAATAGTTCTTAAAAAAAGCAGTGTACCTAGTGATTTAGCATATTCCCAATTTGCAAAATAATTTAGAAAGTCACATAAATTACTTTTTCCAATAATGGTAGCTATTTTCAAACACTTCAGTCTGCTTAGCTCAGCTCGAGTGTGTAAGTTTCAAAACTAGTCAAGAATATTCATGTTTTCATTTCATACACTAATCATTATATTTAAATTCAGAATGTTTTTTGATTGCGAATATTGTATTTGTCTTATAAATTATAAGTAAACCACTTTTATAGCTCTTCCTTTATGCTACTATGAACATTTTTGTTTCCTATTTTTGTTTTCAAATTATGATGGATTTAAGAAGTTTTACTTGATCAAAAAACTATAAAACTACTTTAAACAGTTTTGCTTTACCTTTGTTGAATAAGTGAGCAAGAAGTGTTATATCTGTTATATGTAGCATTAACTTCCCTATGTGTTTATTGAGTTCTACCAGAATGAAAAAAATAAAACAACAATAAAAATGTCAAATGTTGACCCATCTTTACAGCAAACTCATTCAGTCTCAAATTAGTCAAAATATCAAGTCGCTGTGTCCTAACAAATAAAAAACCAACTGTTTCTAACAGGATAACACTTCAGCATCTATAGTCGATAGTTAAAATGCTCAAATAGAGACAAATATCTGGTATCTCTCCAGTACCCAAGCTACAAGAAGCCAAGCGAAAACTCCATTAACATTCATCGAGAGTAGTTCTCCATGGTTTGTAACGTCACTAGGCTTCCAACTCCAAGGGAACGTGTGTTTCAGAAGAATATGCCCGGTGTAGAGAAGAATAGCGTTCATCCCTACCAACATAAACAGTAGTCAATGGTCAGTTTGTTTAGCATAATAATTTACATGAAGGCTGGATAAAAATTCAAAAATTGCCAAGGTTTGCAGTACAAGGAAATTAAAAACTAATCACGTTCATTTACAGAACCTAGCCAAACACACCATTTGTAAAATCAGCCATACAACAAGTACTCTTTATCTATAAGAAAATTATAGACTCCCTTTTGAGATATTTTAATTTATTGGGTTGATTTAACAATAGGCAATGATTAAGTTGGCTTAGTCTGGTGACAAGAGAGGATTTCTAGGGAAAATAGAGTTGATGGTAAAGAGGAAAGGAGACCTACAGGAAACACAAGTAAGTGAGCAAGAAGTGTTATATCAGTTATATGTAGCGTTGATGATAGTGGCAGCAGTCTTTTCTAAAAAAAGGAACTATAGAAGCAAAAAAGAAGATGGAGAGCCAGCCCTAGTTAACAGTTAGACAGGAGAAAACCAAAATGTAAGATATTATATTAATGTAGTTATAATCCCAGACACACAGGATACAATATTGAATTATATGAAATATAAAACTACCACAGTTTTGGGTAGTGCAAAAAACAATGAAGAACATTACAGATGATTAACTCTTTGAGCTCCAAAGGATAAACTAGATTGAATGACAAGAATGAAATATTTTGTACAACATAGATATAAATTAAAAATTTCATTAATTGTGGTTAGGTTATATATTACTATTCCTATAAAAATATCCTATTATACTATAATACTCTGTTTCCTTATGAAAAATATAGATATACAATATAGTCATAGTCAGGAATCTTTATACATAAATATACATGGTTGTACATGAATAGTGTCAAATCAATTAAAAACTAACGCTTAAGACTAAGATAAAGCCGTTTATAGTATTTTTGACTAGTAATTGGCGGTCTTGTAAAAATTGTTATACAATTTTTAATCGATTATGCAAACTGCGGCTAAATACAGAGACATTTTTGAATGTGTCAGTGCTGTTTTCAGTGGTCAAATAAAAAATAAACACTCACCTGCAGACTTAAACATTCCTCCCGTACACCAGCGACAGTGGTCGATCAGGAGGAAGGCGAGGGTGAATACAAGAAAGGCGAAGGATGACGTGAGAAGAGCGTAGGAGACTGACCACAGCTGTTTGTTGACGGGAATCAAACCTCCTTCTACAGACCAACCGCAGAGGAAACCAGCAAACAGACCCTGAGTGAGAAAAAAATCTAATCAAAAGATTTTTGTAAAAAAATTAAAATCAAATTATCTGACTTTTTAATGTGACAATTTGAAATTTTTCGACAGGAAATAAACTATTACCGTAGGTGGTAAGAACTTGACTTGGACTGATTCTTTTCTTGTAAATATTGAACCTAGTTTTTTTACTTTTATATATTTTTATTCAAACCCCTATGTTTTTATAATCAAAGCTTTGAAGCATTCTACTCTTCCAATAATTGTGAAGACCCGCTACCAGTCAACATCACAAAACGTACATAGCTTGAATGACAAATCTTAAACAATTGAACATTTTTAAAAAGATCTTACGGTGATGAGAGCCCAAAACAGCCAACGTAGAGAGCGAGATACGGTGGAGTTATAACTGAGGATAATATAACCAGCTTGAACACCCAAGTAGACCGTCAGGCATGTTGTCAGGGTCCCAAGAATACCTGAAACAGATCAATATACAATAACTAATATCAAACATAATAAGATCCATAGCTTCTTTTAATACAAGGCTGCTGCGTTGGTGTGCGACATCACATCAGCCAGACTTTTACCATGGTAATAACAATAATAAGTAATAACAACGTGTAAACATAAACATAAATAACTTTTTTATCAGCATCGTACATGTTATTAAATTACCTGAAGGCTCAGAAAATACGTCAAATCAAACTTGTAATAATATATTTACACTTGTACTGTTTACTCACAAGACGAATCCAATTCACCTTTTGTGCCTGATGATGATTGGATTGGAGTGTTCAATCGATCACCACTTCCACTCTTTTATGTTTTTAATGTTTTGTGAGTAAACAGTATAAGTTTAAATAGATTATTACAAGTGTTGTTTGACGTACCTTCTATGCTTTCAAAATAAACATTGAACAGAAGCTCTATTATGAATTAGTGCAACAGCTGTTTTGGTAGACGTGATAGGCATTGCCACTTTAGTCTCGCTGGGACCAGGATAGACCCCGCCAATGATTTTACAGATATCAATATCACAGCCAATTAACTAAAACTTATGATACCTAAATTAGAATACAAGACTTGCTGCATACAAAAATGGATTGAGAAAAAAACCACGCCATGACTAGCTTTTTGAGTTTTTTTGTTGATACATTATTTTATCTGACTGACAATTTATTAAATAAATAGCTACCTACACCTTTTTCCACGAATGAGAAAGTTCTGTGATTTATGTATTAATTCTAGGACATGTTTTTTAATCCGTTATTAATTTGTTATTTTCGTTATATTTTGTTATTTATTTATTCATTCACCTCGCTCCAAGTTTGGTCCTATGAAAAGTTAGCTTGTAAGTTTTAATATTTAAAAGTTCTTTAATCCCAACTATTTGATCTAACTACAATTAACTACTTGTATTCATGATTTTTATTCATTTATAATTCATAGTTGATGATTGACAACATCATACGCAACACAAATGCTATTTAACAATAGAAATATTGAATATAGGAAAAAACTTACCTTCAGGGTCAAACGGAACATTAGTATGATAGACCCTTTTGACAGGACCGCGCGGATAAAGATGAGCATCTCCAAACACCTGGCTGTCAATGTATCTGTCGGAACACACCAAAGTTAAAAAAAGTGTAACCTATTCAACGTTTTAACTGAGTTAACTAAATGTGGTTTTGGCACTTCGGTATTTTCATTTGTGTTGCACTCTTAATATTTAGGTATTGATAAGATTTCAAAGTATAACACATTAATGTAAATTCTTGGTTTTTGAGTAATCAGTGATCACCGTAGTGTGGTTAGACTTGTGAAAATACTGGCGTATGTTTGTGTTACATCGGTGCAGTAATCCAACTTAGGGCTACACAATTCAACTTAAGTTGTAACTTGTCTCAAGATGGGTTGCAGCAAAGCGTTTTGAAACTTTGGTTAGTCTAAGTAAAAATAAAAAAGGCTAATCAAAACATCAACTTGAATTCAAATCACGGAAGACCTAAAATAATCATGAAAAGTTATAGCCATGGGAAGGACCTAACTCATTACATTGACCAGGCTAGCAGCAGCAAGTTTAATACAATGAACCACTGCCAGCCGGGGGCTCCTTTGGACGTCATTGTGGAATCCAGGGAAATCAAAAAGCTGTCAGATAATGATTTTGTTGTTTTAATTGGTGGCACTAATAATATTACAAAGACGACTACGAGAAACTCTGAAGGATTCATAAAATCATTCAAAAACCAGTTTAATGAAGTACTGGTGCATCTGGAACATACCAACGTTATCTTATCAACACTACCTTATAGGTATGATTTGAGCGCTACCAGCCAGGAGAATAAATTAGTTAAAGAAACAAATTTCACTGTCAGACATCTTGCGTATGAGAAACCCAACATCAAGCTCTTGGATTTCTAGACTCTTAAAAGACGCTTCCACACCAGACATGGCCTACATTTTGATAAAAGTGGGAAAAGGTATACATCTAAACAAATTCTTATACTAACAGAGAATTCCAACAACAGAAACCCTTCCTGTAGCACCTTGGACTCAACCGACCCACATGTTTCAACCTTATCTTCGCCAGCAGAAATAGTTAATGCAAACATACCAGACCCTTTGAATAGAACATCTTCTACAGAATTTTTTCTTGAGGACAACACTTTCCTGTTGCAAATAATTGAAGCTGAATTGAGATGCAATGAAATGAAATGAAATGAAATATGCTTTATTGTCTTTTGAATTTGTACAAATCATCGACAATGTCAAGATACAGCTAAAATTATAGCATAGTCAGGTAATTAATTAATAAAATACTTATAGCTAACTTAACAAAGGGAGACATATTATAATACATATTCTAAATGAATAATTACAACTGAAGAATCTTATTCTTAAAAAAATCTTCCAAACTATAAAATGGGTTATTGGTCAGCCAACAATAAAATTTACTTTTGAAATCCTTTATATTGTGTAATTTAATTATGGATTCAAGAAAGTTGTACACTTTAAGTGATAAAACTATGTGACTATTTAGGGGCGGTTTGGGAGCTCGAGCCCAGCTAGTACGCGCCTAGTGTTAGACGCGCCTAACTTTAGTCCCAGGACAAGAAACCAGGCTTGGGAGCTCGCGCCTAAGTTGAAATGGTCGTAGATCAAGTATAGTCGCGCCTAAGTTGCAGCGCAGCTAGATGGACAGGGAATCGCGGGGAATTCAGGTTTTGACGTTGGCAACGGCCACTGCAGAGCACGTTACCGTTGACAACAACAAACGATGAACAATTGAAGATGGATACAATTTTATCTTGGTATATCAACGGTGGCTAATTAGTAGACTATGGTTTAAGTTTCTGCATTGTACCATTACAAAAATTTAGTTTTGTAAGATCGTTGATTTACATCTCAATGACGGCTATGTTTTATATCTGGTACTACACCTTATAAATACGTACAGAGCAGCATAGGCTTCTGAAAATCAATATGATTTCTTTCAGAGATCAAAAACATTTAGGTAACCTAATCATTTAACAAAGATTACCCTGTGTGTGGAACGGTAACATCTGAAACTCGGTTTCATGCAATAAAAAGTTTAAAAATTAAACGGCAATTGCCCTGTATAATATATGGGTATTGACGGAAATAAAATAAAAAGTATTTTAAGTAATTGCGGAGGTTATGATAGTGTGAAGCAAATATATATCTGTCAACACTTACAAAAAAATTGTTGTAAATTTTAAAAATTTTAAACATGGCACTCTTTTATCTAACTTTCCTATAATAGTGAAGTAGCTATTACCATAGGTAGCACTTAGTTCCGGGACCGATATACTTTTCCATTTTAATGTCCCTAGAGGCCAAAAACATGCCCTATTCGTTCGTCCCAATTCGTTCAAATGTTTATATATGTATAGCCCATACATTATATACACGTCCATGAACTTGACAAATTGAGTAATTTTTGTCTGATTTTGATAAAATTTGGCATGAAAGTGTAAGGCGCGATGAACCCTAATAAGTTCGCGAACCAGCATGATCAGACCATGTGAACCCGGGGTTTTATGGGATAAAAATAGTTTTCTTCTCAATTTTAACCCCTAAAACATGAATCTTTATATTTAAAATATTTTAAAGAGTATAAAAAAACAAATTAGTATCTTAAAATGTTTTATACGGTTATTGGCTACAGAGACTATTCAAAAATCGTAAATTTAAAACTCCCATGTGATTCTCGTGGAGAATAAGTTAACTGTTGTAGTTTCGTAGTTTATGGATATATTTTGATGAATCTTGACAAATTTATTTATCTATATATATAAAAGGCAAAGCCCTCACTGACTCACTCACTCACTCACTCATCACTAATTCTCCCACTTCCCATTTACCTAGGAGGCTGAAATTTGGTACACTGATTCTTTAGGCATTAAATAGGAAAACTAAGTGGTTTTTATTCTGATCGGGCTCTCGGGCCCCGCCCCAGTGGCTCTGGAGTTTCCCATGTTAACCTTATGAGTACTCATATTTAAATGGAATTAATGTATCTTAACAGCTGTTTCAATTAAACAAGTTGGTTCTGTTCTATGATGTGCAATAGCATTAAAGTTACAAGGATTACCAACAGGGTTCAGCACTATTATTCTTTTTTAAATTTATGACAACAGCTAATTTGCAACCAAAAGGTGAGTGAGCGTAGCGAACGAACTTCAACCCGGAGGCGAGTTAGCGTAGCGAACGAGCTAACCTGAAGGCAAGTGAGCGCAGCGAACGAGCTAACCTGAAGGCAAGTGAGCGCAGCGAACGAGCTCCAACCTAAAGGTGAGTGAGCGTAGCGAACAAACTTCAACCAGGACGTGATTGAGTCATGCGAACGAGCTCACTTATGAAGTAAAACGGGGCAAAGCCCGCGGGTACAGCTAGTTTTATATAAAACTGTTAATATTTTGGTAAAAAACACACTTTATTGCCTCCCTGTAGTAGCATACCTACACGTAGGTAGTTTTAGTTACTTGTTAAACCTAAAGCTATTTAAATAAATTTAATTGAAAGTCCTATTAGGTTATTGGATATTCGCTTAGTCTGTAGGTTTTCTGTGGCGGGACTATTGATATACTGTATATATTTTCTTATACTCCAAATAATCTAGGTACTACATTTTGATGTAACTAGCACTTGTCAATGACACTGAACTGAGCTCAATCACAACGCAATAAAAAGAAAATTATTATGACTGTGAGCTTTTTGCAGTTTTTTTTTGTTTTGTTTATTATCTCTTCACTCTTTCGTAAGGGGTGAGTGGGGGAGGGGGGTATGTAAGCGGTTGCAATTTTTTTCCTAGCTAATAAAATATTTATAATTAAGGTAAGGTTGCTTATAACCAAACTCTCAGTTGAAATAAATTATATTCAGGCTCCATATTTTTATTGAAGTTAACAGTAAAAACAAAAACAAAATAATATTTCGTTAAATTACTTCCCGCAAGATGTTTTTTTTTTATTTTGAACAACAGAAACCTAAAAAAAAACTTTTATCAAATACACTTTGAGGGTAATGAAATTGTTCGGAATTTAATAACGAATTCCAATATAACATTATTTTACTTAATATGTAAACAATTAACTTGCTAATGAGCTAATACCGGCATGATGTCGACTTAGACCTGCCCCCTGGCAGGACTAAAGTTGGGGACTAAACTCACTGATTTTTATGACGAAAACATATCTCTTAGTCCCGAAATTGGTCTCCCAAACCCACCGAGACTATCTCTTAGGCTGGCGCCTAAGTCTACTTGACTCCCAAACCAACAATATTTAGGCGCGAGATTATCCCTGCACAAGTTAGGCGCGCGCCTAACTGATCCCGAGCTCACAAACCCGTTTTCGAGGCGGCAGCCTAAAATACCGGAAATATCCGGATTTAGTCGCGGACTAGCGCTAATACCGAGCTCCCAAACCGCCCCTTAGAGTTTTACTTAAACGATGGAATTCTATTGAGGTATGGTTCTTATTTCTGGTATTATGATCATGAGTATGGTTTCTAAATTTTAAAAGATGTTGATTTTCCAAGATATAAACTATTAAGTCATAAATATAAACGTTAATAATAGTAGGGATTTGAAGATTTCTAAAAAGTGGTTTGCTGTGGTCTCTTGAGCCTTTATTAGAGATAACTCTAACCGCTTTTTTTTGCCAAACAAGAATTTCCTCTACCCTAGCACAATTGCCCCAAAAAATTAGCCCATACCTGAAAATGGATTGAAAATATGAAAAATATGCTGTTCGGACATAATTTAATGGAATGCATTTTTTCAGACGACCTAGTAAAAATATTACACGATAAAGTCTGGTATTTAAATAGTCTATATGAGAATCCCATGTTAGCTGACTATCTACATATATTCCCAAAAACTTTGCTGAAAAAACTTTACTACCCTTATCACTGTTCTCAAACAACTCTCTTGAATTATAATTTAAGGAAAATGTCAATTTTTGTGATTTTTCTTTGTTAAGCAAAAGTCCATTACTATGAAACCAATTTTGTGCATTATTTAATGTTTCATCAGCCAATTTTTCAAGTTCTTTATAGTTTTTACTAGTAGATAAAAAGGTAGAGTCAT